GGGGTCAGGGGCAGCACGTGGAGCTTCCCTGATTGCCCCTGCGCCCAGGAGCCGGACGTGCCGGCTGCTTCCGGGAGCTGCGCGGCGCCAGGGCAGGAGGGAGCCTGTCTTAGCCCGGCTGTGCCGCTGACGGGACTGTTAACGGCCCGGCCGGCGGTGCTGACCGGAGTTGCCAGGTCCCTTTTCGACCGGGCGCCCGGCAACCCTGGGGCACAGAGCCGTACCCCTAGAGAAGGGATCCCATAGCCCCCTCCATCCAGGGCCAGAGAGCGGCTGGGGGTCCCAGGCTGGGCGAGGGGCCGATTCCCACCCCAGGGAGCCGGTCTCACCGAGTCGCCGTCCCGCGGCCAGGCCCGCCCGTTCTGCACGTACTTCCCCTGCGGCTGGCGCTTCTTCTGCCCCCCGTCGGCAAACTTGCAAAGCAGCGGATCTGAGGGGGCTGCCCAGAGACAGAGGCAGGCGTCACGCCCGACCCCCAGCCCCCCCTGCTCCCATCCCGCACCCCCCTTGCTAGCCCAGCCCTGGGCTCCCCCCACGCTCTGCCAGGGCCCCCCAATCCCGACCCGCAGTCCCTGCTAGCCCAGCCTTGGGCTCCCCTCCCCATCTCTGCCGGTGCCCCTCACTCCTGACCCACAGCCCCTGCTAGCCCAGCCCTGGGCTCCCCCCATGCTCTGCCAGGGCCCCCCCAATCCATGGCCCCCCTGCTCCCGACTCGCAGCCCCCCTGCTAGCCCAGCCCTGGGCTCCCTGCACCCCCTTCCTGTCCCCATTGTTCCCGAGTTCGGCCTGGCAGGAGTTAAACCCAGAAGGGAAGGGAAGGGAAGGGAAGGGTCCCATCCCCCAGGAGAGTCATTATATAACAGCCCCCTGCCCGGCTCCTGCTGCCCGGGTTCCCCCTTGGGTGCCGCACCGCGAGGCCCTGCCGCCCACCTGGGATCCCTGGGGGGGTCTTGATGTATTTCCCGTTGAAGTGGGTGATGATGGCTTCGCACTTTTCTGTGGACTCCATTCTGTGAGGGGACAGAAGGCCTGAGCCCAGCGCCAACGACCCCCTCCCCCTCCCGCACCAACATCCCCATGCCGAGAACCCCCAACGCCAACGTCCCCCAGCGCCAACGATCCCCTCCCCCTCCAACATCCCCATGCCAACAACCCCCAACGTCCCCCAGCGCCAACGACCCCCTCCCCCTCCAACATCCCCATGCCGAGAACCCCCAACGCCAACGTCCCCCAGCGCCAACGACCCCCTCCCCCTCCAACATCCCCATGCCG